AGACCAGCCACCTTCACCTCTAATCATTTTCCTGTCACCAAGAAGCAAAAGGACTGAGCTCTCTAAGCCTCTCAAACAGGAGGTGAACATCTTCAGAAATATCCCTGATAGGAGACAGGACAGATGGAACTTTAGTGATGGATTAAGTCTTGCTAATATTAAAACCTCACAGCTGCCCTAGGAATGAAATTAAATTGTAATATGCTCACTCCAACTATTTTTATTTCATCCCAAGTAACCTCTATCTTCTGAGGTCTTTGATGGGCATTTTAATTAAATGGTGAAAAGCCCTTTGTCTCCTGATAAGGCTTGAAGCCTCCCTGTTCCTCCACCTCCCTCTTTCTTGATAGCTGAGAAATGTACCTTGTTCTCAGCAGGACCCAGCTCTGGACACAGCTTCCACCAAAGCCCCACACCCAGGTTCCTGGGTACCTTCCCAGTAGAGACGGGGCAGCCACTTATAAACGAAGCAGTGCTGGATTCTGGGAACTTGACAAACACTGCTGAAAACTACCTGACCCAAATCTCTGCTCTGACACGTTGTAGGCAACTCAAACCTTTTTGATGATATACTTCAGCTTTATGACTTCCCTGACACGATGGACCAGAGCTATCTGTGCTTTGCTGTGAACGTCCTGCCTAAGGGCTGATCATTCACCCATGCAATTATTCATTCTACACCCATTCATTCACTTATAGATTCAAGGCTCTCATTCTTGCAACCTTAACACAACCAATGCTGAATTCCTAATCTTAACCTACACTAATTCCTGCTCCTCTCCTCCCATCTCAGTAAGGGGCATCCCCGTCCATCAATGACAGCAGGCAGAAAGCAAGAGTCACCTCCACTCTGTGTCCACCCATCAGCAAGTCCTACTGGCTCCATCTCCAAGAACTTTGCCTCTTATGACCCGTGTGACCTTCAGTAAACTGGTTAACCTTTCTGTGCTTTTCCTCATAATAACTTGGAAACAATATCGCTACCTCAGGGGAGTGTTTTGAGACACAAGAGATAATACATACAAAGAACAGTGTCCAGCACATGTGTGTGAGCCAAGGTCCTATCATTTAGGCGGGAGAGAATGTGGTAGTTCTGAATGTTATTATACTTCTAATGTAACATACTTTAATTAGAATGCATGAAATACTACATTAACAATACAATAAAGAAGAAAAGCTAATCTCAAAAAATAACACAGGCAAAGAATAATGACATGGAAAATTGTTTACATGTCTTATTTATTAAGAATGAATAAAAGTCTGTTACAAAATAGTGTTTATGTGGAATGATTTCTTTTTTTTTTTTTTTTTTTTTTTTTTTTTTTTTTTT